GCAGGGGGCAGCTCAGGCTTTTTCTTTCTGACTGTGCCAACCACGGTGATCTTTCTCTTCAGCAGCTGCTGGCCAAGTTCATAAGATGCGAAAAAAATTGTCAAATGTGACACTGTGACCCCTCAGTCCATCCATTACATCAAGTACAACCCTCCACTGATCAGCTTCCCTGATTACACTTAACTGGATTGTGCATCACTTCAGGCCCAGTTTGTTTGTTACTTATCTTGCAAACCATAACATTCTTGAAAAAGTGTGAAAGACCTTCAGTGACATTGTGGCATGGAAAATTACTCTTCCCAAAGACTAGATGTAGCCTCACCTCAGGACCTATACACACCTGCTAGGATTAACAACCCTATGTAGGCAAGCATGTCAGTCTCATCCACCATTCTCCACTTGTCTCCGTGACCATTTTAACAGCAGAAAAAAAACCCAACTTTTCCTAAAATGACCCCAACATTAGATTAAATGAGCCATTTTTTATTTTTATATTTTCATGAAGGTTTTACACACCAAGGGTACAAAGATTGTCTTAGAGGTCAACTTTGACCTGTCATGTATAAAACCACTTATACACCACAAAAACTACAGACACATCACACACACACACACACACACACATTACGTAAGAAACCAAGATTGTGTGCTGCTGACTCATCTCTCTCTCTCACCTTCCCTCCATGACCCCACACATGACTCAAGCTCAGACAAAAAGAAAAAGAATTTCCGAAAAAATAACTTTTTTCAAACATTTAAAATCATTTCAGGAAATTTAGAAACAATGCCCGTTTGGCTATTTAGTAAGCCTGGTTTCAGATGTCTGGATTATTTCAGTGAATGAAGCTAAAGGAAAAAAAAGTCAACATAAAACTTCATTATTAAACTGTCTGTTTAAATAAATAAAAAGTTAAAACGTAAACTAGAAATATAAAAGTGAGGTTTCAATTTGATTAACTCTTTGTAACTTTAATTTCCCCTAGCAACATCAAAACATTATGGTTGCGTTTTTCACGCTCATGCGTGATGTGAGGGGATTTCTTTTTATGGCTTTCGAACTTCCTATGTGGTGCATTGTGCATTATAGACACTGAGGTGCCCTGACAGTGCTGGATCACCAGATAGACCCGTTTTACTGCATACACCTGCTCACTGAGGAGAATAAAATGCCAGAGGATAATGTAAGTTATTCATTTGTACCTTATTTCTTTGATGATGCGTATATCTCTATACTTATGTGATTGTTACCTTATTAATTAACAGAAATGTTTTTGCTTTTTTTATAATTTGATTTTTTTTCTTTGTTCTCACATTTAACTTTTTTCTAACACACTGAGCTCACAGTAGAGACCACACAGAGTGTTAATGTGGTTTGTTGTTTGATAGTGTGACTTTACATTACTGTGCCATTCAGCAAAAATCTGCAGTACTTTATAAAACAGATGCAAGTGATGAAGTTACAGTTAACTACAGTGCCATGACAGTAGTATGAATTACTATGACAATATGATGATTTATGATTTAAATTACAATTCATATTTTAGTGTCTCAAGGCATTTTTTTACAAACGATGAATTTACACATTGTTTGGACGTGTGTATCCGTTTCTCTCCCCCATTTGCAGTCACAAGGAAACTAGGTACTTAGCAACGTAATATGAGATACATTACCATTACTTTCTCCAGATAAACAAGGAACTGAGATTTTTCTGACTGGCACAAAGTTGCAAAGTTCTTCAGAAATTAAACATTAAAAAGTTCTTCAGGAATTAAACCTTAAAAAGTTCTTGTTTCATATGTAAAATATATTTCAAATGTGATGTTCACTTCACTGTCTGGGGGCCCTGAATGACTAATGCACGTTTTTGTCAGAAGCAGTTTAGCTTTATTGTTTTGTATGTCTTTTCCAGTTTCCTGAAGAGTAATTAGCATAAATACAACATATTCAGAATACTGTTATATGTTTTAAACAAAATAAAGTTTGACTGCATAATTCTTTTATTATATATTTGTTCAAAAATCATAGCTTTAAATTAGGCTTAAAAGATATGAAATGCAAACAGGGTGGAGTTGATCTTCTCCAAAGACTCAAACATCTTTTGCTTTTGCATTAATATGCTTATGATGGTGACTTGATGGTCACTTATTCTCTTATGTTTTACAAATTCAATTATTATGTCTCTGGGTTGTATGTGATAGATAGATAGATAGATAGATAGATAGATAGATAGATAGATAGATAGATAGATAGATAGATAGATAGATAGCACCACCTTGTGTTTGTAACAGGCAGTAGCTTTAAACCAACCTAATGTACAGATTTCCTTTTCTTCCTCTTTGGCAGAGTTGGGAGCAAGGTGGTACGTTTACGGTGGATACAAACTTATTGCTCCTTTATGGAAGTGGTGATCTATATAATGACTCCATTGATGAATATTGCTGTGATGGGGGTGATATATGTGACCTGAATGAGGGCATAAAGTTTGAAGCAGTGGTCATCCCAGCTCTGTACTCTATGGTGTTTGTTGTGGGTCTCCTGGGAAATGGAGTTCTGCTGGGAGTTCTGGCTCAGAGCAGGAAGACCTGGAGTGTGACAGACACTTTCATCCTCCACCTTGGTGTGGCAGATGTCCTGCTGCTGGTTACTCTGCCCATCTGGGCTGCACAGGCCACTCAAGTTGAAGGTTGGACATTTGGTGTTCCACTCTGCAAGATCACTGGAGCTGTTTTTACGGTAAGAGGTGTGCAGCAGGAAAGATGCAATGAAAATACCTAATCATAAACAAAGCTCATGGGAGTAAATATACAGATGTTGCAAAAAAGTTTTTTCACTTCTCTTTGGTTGATTTCTTTGCACCCTCAGATCAACTTCTACTGTGGGATCTTTCTGCTGGCCTGCATCAGTCTGGACCGCTACCTGTCTATCGTTCACGCAACACGTATGTACTCCCAGAGGAAGCCTTGGGTTGTTCAGGCCAGCTGTTTGGCAGTGTGGCTCTTCTCCCTGCTCCTCTCTATCCCTGACTGGCTATTTTTGGATGCTGCCTATGATGACAGACGAAAAAAAGCAGAGTGTGTTCGCAACTACATGCTTTCCAATGAGACAGTACTAGGCTTACGTGACTGGCGACTGGCATCACGCCTGCTTTACCACACAGTGGGCTTCATGCTTCCTTCTGCTGTGATGATTTTCTGTTATTCCTGCATCCTGCGGCGCCTGCGGTGTGGCACCCAGGGCCTTCAAAAGCAGAAAGCTTTCAGGGTAATTGTGGCTGTGGTGGGGGTTTTCTTTCTTTGCTGGTTGCCATACAACATCACACTCATGGTGGACACACTTCTTCCCGAAAACAATGAGACCTGTGGAGTCAGATCATCTTTGGAGAACGCCAAGACAGTTACCTCCTCCATCGGTTACCTCCACTGCAGTCTCAATCCTATCCTGTATGCCTTTGTGGGTGTTAAGTTCCGGCGTCAGCTCCTGGCCATCCTGAGGTCTCTTGGCTGCAAGCTGAAGACAAGTGCCAAATTCCAATCTGCTGTGAGCAGCAGGAGAAGCTCCATTTGGTCTGAGTCTGCTGACACCTCCAACTCCATTGCAATCTGACAGAGACACACAAGCATTATAGTAAGCATATGGACAAATGTACATACACTTACAAACTGACCTAAACTGACATGAAGACCCAGGCAGCTGAGCATACTGTGTGTTTCTATACATTTCATAACCTGTAACAGTCTATGCTTTCTATCAGTTTCCTGCAGGGCATTAGTACCTGAAAAAAGGCATGACCACAAGACAAAAAAATCCCTGTCAACCTGTGATTTGAAGTCATGTGTGTGCACTTGTGGACATTTGTTTTTTTTTTTTTTTTGTACAGTAGAACATTTTCTGATTGCCAGGCAGCATAGTAATATAAATAGACAGGATAACATGTAATACAACTTGTCCTACCGCAGCGTGAATTACTGTAGCTATCTGCAATTTTACATGCAACATTTTAAAAGACAGATTTTTTATACAACAATTTATATTGCCTATTTTTGTATATGGAATATTAAAAAAGAATAAAATGTTTTACTTTTGAATCATAAACCAGTGTCTTTCCAACATTACAGTACAGCAACAGGGACAACAGGGTCCTTTAAAGCAACATGAAATGACAGTTTACTGTATTTCCAGTGGTGGAAGAAGCACTTAGCTGAAATGCTAGTGTAGAAACACTGGATGTAAAAGTCTTGCATCCAAAATACTCCTTGAGTAAAAGTTCAAAAATATTAACATCAATTTTAAAAGTAAAAGTATATACTCATTATGCAGAATGGCACATTTTAAATTATTGTACAGTATATTATATTGTTGCAGGGGTTTTCAACCAGTGCTCTGTGGCCCCCTGGTGATCCATAATTTGCATTGCAGGTGGTCCTTGATCATACGTTCGATAATGTAGTTTCACTGTAGGAATCCACCACACAACAGTGGTCTTGGGGTTACTTCTTCAGTCAAGATGGTGTTCCCTGGGTCACAATTAGTTGAAAACCCATGTATTATGTATGCATTAATGTGTACTTTAATGTTGTGGCTGGTAAAGCTGGAGCTCATTTAAACAACCTTACAGTAAATGCTTTTAATTAAATTTTTTATTTTGCATTCTGCTAGATAGCCTGTAAATTTCTTACCAGGGCCCCAGAGGCTGAAGGCACCCTGCAGGACTGTTTCACCCAGACAGACTGGGATGTGTTTAAAGCTGCAGCCACCTCAGAGGACTTTTCTGTCAGCGTACAGGATTATGATGAGTATGTGACCGGGTACATTAGTACCTGCATTGACAACATTGTGCCCACCATACAAGTCAGGAGTTTTCCCAACCAGAAGTCCTGGATAAACAGTCAGGTATGCCACATGCTGCATGCTCGCTCTCATGCATTCAGATCAGGCGATGAGACACAGTACAAAGCTGCGAAGTACAGACTGAGGAAATCCATCACAGTGGCCAAGAGGCAGTACAGAGAAGCTGAATGGCTTCTATCCTACTGCTGACTCCGTACGGATGTGGCAAAGCCTGCAGCACATCACAGACTACAGGACCACCACCAGCATCATCAGCTTCACAGACAGCCTGCCGGGTGACCTCAACACCTTCTACACCCACTTTGAGACCTCCACCCACCGCACAGAGAAGAGAAACAC